TGCTACCAATGCACCACTGTGCAGCCCTCACAGAAATATTACTTACTTAAATTATTGTTTTTCATTCTACTTGGATTTGTGTTTTGAATTCACAGTTTAGAAAATGTTGCTAATTAAATATACATTGAAAAGTCTGAGGTAAACATTTCTGTGTATTTAATTCAAAACATGCTTTAGAATGTTCACATTGTGTATTGGCTGGGTAGTTTTCATTATCTCAGTATATGAGATGAGGGAACGAGATAAACGTTTGATGTGCTCAGTGAAGCAACCTTTCTGCACTGAATGCTTCTAAAGCACATTCACTCTATGAACAAATGAATGAATGAATTCTACATGAGCAGTAGGGTCAGTGCTGGCATTAATGAACAACAAAATCAGTGACTCCAGCAGCAGACTTTTAATAATGTGCAACACATGAGTGTGTGGGTGTTGTTCTCATTTTTATTTAAAATATCTTTTCTGTTCAATTAGAATTCAAAGATCTTTTAATATTAAGAATTATTAAGATTAATATGAAGTAAGAGTGTAACATAGAAAACAAACGGAGACACTGATGAATAGGTTCTGAATTTAGAAACTGTTTGGATTCTAAAGCATACAGGCCGTAAACCCATCCCAAAAACATATGAGAAAGTTTTCATAATTTTTAATTTGTCACAAATAAAAGTAACAAATTAAAAATCATCGCAGTCCATAAGCTGTGTTTTTGAATGACAAGTATCGAGCATAAGAAATTTACTGATCCAAAAAGTGTGAGGAGACTAGAGAGGAAACAGGAAGTGAAGGTTGGCTCAATGACTTGGGATGAGGGGGAATGTGACAAAGTTTGTAAAAAGACAAAACTGTGTTGTTAAAATTTTAAAGTTGTCATGTTTACTCTATGTTGTTGTTTTTGAACTAATGCGGTAATTTCAAGGTGGAATTTGAGGTACAGCTTGTTTTACTGTGAGTTTGGTTTGCATGTGCACCACACATAAAACCTAAAATTCAGAATTCAGTGTTTCAAAGAAAGTAAAAGTTGTTAAGTTTAATAATGTAATTTCATGGTGTCACACCCTGATCAGCTAATTCATGAAGAACACCTGCAAACATTTCCTGAGCCTTTGAATGATCTCAGTCTAGATCAGTAGGATCAAATCTGGAGAAGTCTGCTGACTGGACAGATGTCCAGAAGACACTCTGAGTGACAGACAGTGCAAAATCACAAAAATTTGATGCTTGACATGTTTCACTTTACATGTGTAATGAATCTATATAAAAATGAGTTTCACTTTATAAAAAAAAACCTTTTCATAATCTTTTTATTAAACTGTTAAATGTTTATATGTGTCTGTATCTGCTTATTGTCAAATATTTTTGAGGCGCGAATGGAATCCAATAAGTCATTCTATTTCTTCAGATTAGCTGCCACCACCCATGCTGCTATGAAAATGTTTTCTAAATGACTGAAATGATCAGAAGGCGACATAATATTATATAATAATTAAGAGCAATTGTGGAAAATTTCAGCTGTGGGATACAGGGGAGAAGCAAATAAGAATTTTATTTTTGTTTTTAATTTTTTTTATTATTTCTTTTAACCTAAGCACAAGGTGATGTTTATGGTAAACAAATATTGGCTTCAGTCTCTGGCTTCTTTTTACAAAAAAACAAAAGAATCTGCGGCATCATAGTTTGAATTCACTGTTTTTGTTGCTTTTTGCCAAGCAACATCAGCAGAGTCCCTGATCAGCAGTGTGGAGGTAAACATACCCATGGATGGGCCATGTCCCTGGGCTAAGCCATGAGAGATGCTCTTCTCTCCCTTTAGTCAAAGTGCTTCAGGTCAGTGAAACCAGAGAGGAGAGGGAGAGTTAAGCTGACCAGACCCTTAACAACTTTAGTCTCTGATTACATAGCTTTTCTCTCCTGAGTGTACACTTCTCCACTCTGGCATACTGATTAGGCTGATTCAGGCTTCTATGATCACTGCAGCTTGTAGTCCTGACTTGAGCCTTGCCTCCCCCCACTAGTTCTATACTCCATCTCCCAGTCCATTCCTACAGAACCTTGGGTTATCGTCAGAAGTCTATTGCCCCGGCGAAGTCTCAGAAGATATCAGTAAGGCTGGAATGGTGAGAAGGCCTGGGTTGAAGGAGGCCTTGGAGAGAGGAGAGGTGTTCTAGCCCTGCAGAATTCCCCTCTTGGCTTTTTTAGGGGAGGGGAGCAGAAGAAAAATCAATAGGCAAGAACCAAGAGGCCTGTGATGGCATGGATAATCATATTTCTGCATTAATGTTTTAGATGCTGGGAGAACTCATCTGTTCAGCTACTCCTTGATGCAGAGCTGCACAATAAGCAGCTAACATTTACAAAGGATGCAGCTATATGTTGCAGGCTCACAAACATTAAGCACAAAAGAGCATATATTAAGAGCATCCACACACCTTACATATGTTGCATAATGTAAGAAGTTAAAAACTAAACATACAAAAGGCACAAGTTCAAAATACTACAAAGTATAATGTAATCTATTCATAATTTATGGATAGGTCTGTGACAATTACTTTGGCAAAAAATATTAAAAAGAACTTTAACGGAAATTGGGCTGAAACAAATTCAAGTTGGCACTTTATGCCACAGCTTCTATGTTGCTTTTCTATGACATTATCACACATAAATCAGGCTCTGGCAGATTGGGACCTCAATCATAGGGTCACCACTACCTCCCCTCCTCAAAATACAAAATCTGATGCATCACAAATACACATGCAGACACACAAAACAATTACTCCTTTAATACACCACACTGGTGAAAACTAAGTAATCCAATGATGTAAAAACATTGATTAGCTGCACTCATACACTATCTCTGCTCTCTATGGCATTCTCAAAAGCCGTAATACCTGAGGACAAGCGTCTCCTCAACAGAGACTTTAACTTTACAGTATATGATATGCACCTTTTATAAAACATGAAGATGGAACACATATACAAGCAAGGATGAAATTGTAATGTTTGATCAGTACCCGTTCAAAATAGGGGTAAGTTAAAATATTTTTCTTACTACAAATTTACATCGTTAAAAAAAATCCAAGGAAGGGAATATAAGTTATTAAGAAAACAAACCTTAGCATAATAGCATAATTTCAGAATCATTTAAATCTCCAAAAAATAATATTATATTTTGTTAGACAGCTGCTACAAATAGGCAGCGGAAAATGACAGAGTGACTTGCCAAGATAATAAGACAGTTAGCGAGTAAAACAAAGCTATGGTGCTCCAAAAACTCCGGAGCACATTTCAAAGAATCCTCATTTTGGATGAACTGAGTGGATAGATGAAGCTATGAGGGCTGCCTTCTCACCTAAACACTTTTTGTGACAAATTAATAGTGTAGTCACCTCCATTTAACTTGTTTTGCTGAATGTCTGGTCTGATTTGATATGTTTCTTTGTTTGACTCCCCGTGCTGGTCGGGAGCTCTTCCGTTTTAGGGAGCGAGTTTGCTGTTGTTTTTGCAACATTTCTCCCTCTTGCTCCTTTTTTGTGTTTGTGGGATTTTATTTGTGTTTTCAACATTTGGGATTGCAGCATTTTGTTTCCATTTGTTTATTGTGTTAGGTGTATGATGCAAACTCCAAAACACACTGTTTGCATCTTGTATTACTGTTTGTTGCATGTTTACAACTGTCTGCCACTGTACACTTCCTATCTAAAACTCACATTTGGCAAATCCCTTTGAAATGTCATGTTTCTCATGTATAAAAAAAATATCAGTTTTATTTGGGCAAAACTGACAAAGAATCTCCATGAACTGGAAACTTATACTTTGGTACCTATGTGGCACTTTGCCATTTCCAAACAATCACTTTGTGGGCTATTTATATTATTTTATTTATTAGAATAGTTGAATCTTTTATGGAGTGAGATGGGATCAGCTGGTAAGGGCCAGTGAAAAGGGCAGTACTAGATGAGTGGTGGGTGAGGGGAGGGGGTCAGCAGTTCTGTGCATGTGCTTGGTGTCATCTGACTTTCTGGCTGGTTTGCTGATCTCCTCTGATTTACAGTATATGACATGCACCTTGAAGCCCTCCCCTAACAGAGGCAACATCAATTACCCCAACTCCCCCCATCTTTGCTGACACATAGCCAACACTGTAAAAAAAGTCTGTAAAATCAACAGTAAAAATCTGTGAAATCATGACAGAAAAATTTTGTAAAGAAAAACACAATAATATTTTGTTCATTTACCAGTATGATATTGTATAATGTAGAACCGAAAATTATTGTACATTTTAAAATAGAAAATTGTAAATAATATTGTATTTAGTTGTAGAAAATACACATTTTTTATTGTTAATGAAAAAAGTTGTATCCTTCACAACATTCTTACATTTCAGCAGTGTAAAACTAACATTTACATTCTGTGATGATTAAATCCAAATGAATTGGAAGCTAGCTTAGCTTTTTTTTGCTAGGGAGAAGTAAGTTTGGGCTTCCTTGTTTAAGCTGTTGCCCCTGTGACCCAACTCCAGATGGACAATAAATTAAATGAATAAATTAATAGATTTGGAAATTAATGTGGAATTAAGTAATTATGATTCCACATTATTTACTTCCAATTTTGTTCACTATTTATCTATTCACTTGTGTTTTCCCACTTCTTTAGATTGTCATTTCCTCTTTAATTCATTTACTTATTATTTGTCAATTTTGATTGGATAATTTCTTCATATTTCACGACTAACGTGGAGGAAACACCTGAATCAAAAAAGAATTCATGTACTTGCTTATTGGTACATGTATTTTATTTTTATTTATTATTTTTGCTAACACTGGATTTTTTACCTTCACCGTTGCCATTATAAGCTCAAAGTTCGGCTACTGCAAGAAAGACAGAGATCACCGCTTTGTGCTCAAGTTCCGGTCTGTTCTGCTCTCTAATTGGTTCGCTTACTGCTCTCTAATTGGTTCGCTTACCTGGCGCCTGAAAGCTGTTTTGAAAAAGTTCGTCCAACGGTTCTCATCTCAGAAGAAGCTGAATTGTGCTCAAACCTTGACAAAGAAAAGAACGCTGTTTGGACCTCGTCAGCTTTCAGCAAATGTAAGTTAAGCTTTATTTTCTTCTAACGTAAAAGCCACGGTAATTTGTGTTTTTTTTGTTGTTGTTGTTTTTTAGGCGTCATATTGCTTCTTGGAACAATATGCAGTAGAATAATTTTTTGCTACACCTGCAACATGTGTAACTTGTTAGATAGGTTGAAATTGTTTAAACATGATTACATGTACGTTTTGCTGTAAAACACTAGAATCATTGAGGGGCTATGTGTTGCATTGCAGAGTGCACAGAAACGAGCCCAGTTGTGTATTCAAATGCCTCGGCACAGAATGTAAGCGGACATTTTGTACATATGCAGCGTTTAAAACTCATTTTTACCGAGTTCACAATGTGGCTTCACAACCCAAATCAGATAAAGCCATTGTTGCTAAATTGAAATGCACCATTTCATTGTGTGGGCACCAAAGCCAAACTGTGAAAGAATTCGTTGCTCATTTGAAGGAGCATATAATGGAGGGGCGGCCTGTAGCATGTCCAGTAAAAGCCTGCAAAAAAGTTTTCAGCGTCAAATCATCATTCACAGCTCATATGTCCCGTAAACATAGATATTTTTGTGGATGACATTGATGTTTTGTACAAGGAAACTACAAATAAGATCGTTAGTCTATCAGAAAACGATGGGCCTTCTGAGAGCTTTAATGATGCTCTGACTAATGAAAGTCACGAATTATCTCCAAATTTCAACAAGGATTATCTCAGAAACTTGGGTCTTTTCTACCTGAAACTTCAAGGACAGCTGCTTCTTCCAGCTTCCACGATACAGAACATCGTTGAAGAGATGCAAAATGTGCATGAGCTGGGAATGGATTACACTTTAACTAAACTAAAGTCGCTTTTAAAAGATGACATGTGTCTTGTAGATGATGCTGTTGCTAAAATCTGTGATTGTGTAAGAGATTCTGATTTATTTTCTGTTTGTCATCATGGGCCACTGAGAACAACATATTCAAGAACTCAGACTTTCAAAAACATGTTCAAATACACAGAACCAAAGCAAATATCTTTAGGAAGTGATGAAAACATGACCCAGAGATTTTCTTACTACATACCCATTAAACAGACACTAAGTGCACTTTTAGAATCAGACTTATGGAAGAATTCAGTGTTGGAACAGTCCAATGACTCACACCCGGATGTTTTCTGTGACATAAGTGATGGCCAAAACTTCAAGTGCAACCAGTTCTTCATTGAAAATCCTGGGTGCCTGAAGCTTATTCTCTACCAAGATGCCTTTGAAATTGTTAACCCCCTTGGTTCAGCAAAGAAGAAACACAAAGTTGTCGCTATTTATCTATTTGTGGCTAACTTACCTGCTCATGTGCGGTCAAGCACTGATCACATGTCTCTAGTTTCATTGTGTTTCGAGAACGATTTAAAACAGTTTGGAACTGCAAAGGTTTGCTCTGAACTTCTCATGGATTTGAGAGATTTAGAGGAACATGGCATTATTGCAGGTGAAGAAACAGTCAAAGGAGCACTGTTCTGTATTGCTGGTGACAATTTAGGATCACACAGCATTGGTGGGTTTACTGAAAACTTTAGTACTTCTCAGTACTTTTGTAGGTACTGTGAAGTCACAAGAAAAGACTTTCTTAATGATCCAAATGCTTGTGGTCCACAGCGAACCCCTGCAGCTTACAATTTGGCAGTGCATCATCGAGAGATTGGAAGCATTCAAGACAACAAAGGTGTCAAGGTAAACTCTGACTTCAACTCACTAAAGTCTTTTCATGTTTGCCAACCTGGTCTTCCACCTTGCTTAGGCCATGACTTATTTGAGGGTGTCGTATCCTATGATCTTGCACTGTACTTGAAATATTTCGTTAAAACAAGGAAATGGTTTACATATTCCCAGTTCAACCGTAGAATCAAGCAATTCAAGTACAAAGGATCAGATGCTCTCACAAAGCCGTGCCCTGTCAACTCTGAGGCAATCAGGCTTTCAGGTCAAGCTGTTCAAAACTGGAACTTGCTGAGATTGTTGCCAGTGATTATTGGTGACAAGATACAAAATCCACAAGATAATGTTTGGCAGACAACGCTCCAGCTCAAAGACATTGTGGATTTGATTTGTGCACAACAAATTTCTTTGCCACAGGTTGCCTTTCTTGAAATAATAATCCAAGAATATTTGGAATCAAGAAAATCTTTATTTCCTGAAACTTCACTTAAACCAAAACATCATTTTTTGCGGCACTATCCAGCCCTAATTTTGAAATTTGGACCTTTGATTAGGTTGTGGACAATGCGTTTTGAGAGTAAACATGTCTACTTTAAAAGATGTGCAAGGCATTTGAAAAATTTTAAAAACATATGCTTGACACTATCAGAAAGACACCAGATGTTTCAGGCTTACATCTCAGCTGGCCCTAGATGCAATCAGCTGCTGCTGGTCAAGGACAGTTGTGTTTTTTACTCAAGCCTCTACAGTGATGAAATAAAACACGCAGTAAAAGACCTGGATTTTCTGAAAAAGACACAAGTATTTCCACAGAGATACAATATAAGGGAACAGTTTATAAAAAGGGGCATTTCTTGGTTTCAAAGAATGATGAGTATATGGAGTTTGGAGAGCTGGTTTTAATTCTGATTCAAAATGAAACTGATGTGTATTGTGTTATGGATGTACAAACAGCTGTCTATCATCCTGATTACCATCTGTATTCAGTGACAAAACAGACTTCAAGCATTTTGTGTATTAACATAAATGACTTGGTTGACTTTTACCCTTTGACCTGTTATCAGGTAAATGGACAACAAGTTGTTCCTCTGAAACACAGTGTGTTTTCAAAATAAAAATGTCTTCATATACCATCATGGAAAGTCCACTTAAAACAGATATGTTGATGTGAACAAAAATAATTAAGAAAAAACAGGGAAAGAAGTTTGACTAAAAATTTAAGGATGTACATGAATAAAAAGTGTGAATCAGGCACAACATTTTGTTTGACACTAAGTATGAGTCTCTTTAATTTGTACATAGTTGAATACATGTTATATTATGGTGATCTTGTTTTTTTACCATTATTTTGTCTGATTTTATTCCAGAAATGGCTGAGCAAACATTTTTACGCAGTGCTATCAATGAAGTGTTGCCCGAACTTGCAGAGGCTTCAAAAGACATTCTCGAGGAGACTTTACAGTCAATTGGAGTAGAAACGTATGATGACTTCCAGTTCATTGTTGAGAAGGACTTGCTGTCAGCATTAAGACCAATTCAAGCCAGAAAGGCACTTGCTGCTTGGAAATTAAGATGTAAGTACAATTCTAGAAAAGCAAAAGTCAACCATTAAACACCGATATTCTTATTCAGTTTTGATAACTTATTGGTTGTTTTGTGTTTTTGAAGGCCGGACCCCTGAAACCAGCAGGTCCTCAAGTAATGCATCACCAGATACTCCTCCATCACAGCAGTCTTTGTCCCCGCTAAGTGTGTCATCAAACTCCTCCAGCAGCAACCAGACATCTGCAGCAGACTGGATGGACACCTTTGAGATACCATGGGAAAAGTTCTCAGAAGAACTGATGCAGGCATTAGAGAGAGGTAAACGCCCAAGTCCAAAAATGAGGAAGGAGATGGTCAGGATTGTGGTGTCTGAAATGATGCGAAAAAGTTCTTACTTGGGTAAAAGGAGTTCTACAGAGGTTGCAAAGAAGATGGTGGCAAAATATCCAAAATCTCTACAAGACGTTATCGATGGAGATGTCATTGGCCCTGGCTATCATTCACTCGTCAAACAACTTCAATATCGAATTGACAATGCGAAGCGATCTACAATGCCTAAAATAAGAAAGCGAAAGCACTGCTCTGAAAACTCTGACACAGATGAAATTCCTCAGGAACAGAGAGCTGCAATTCAGGACACCTATGGGTGTATAAACTGGAATGTAAAATTCCTTCCTCTTGGAGAAACTGCTGAAAGTCAGCAACAGAAGAAGGACAAGCTCAAGATGATGTCTCTGCAGAAGGAGGCCAATCCTGAGGAGATGAAAGAATTACTGAGGACAACTTTCTACTCACAGCGCAAAGATATTAACCAGGGGAAAAGTATTCAAGATGTCTTGGAAGCCTGGCCTGTTTTATTTCATGACATTGGGATGGCTGTACACTACAAGGAACTTACTGGACTTGGATTGAAGGAAACCTTCATGAGGAACATTGATATGAAGGGAAAAAGACTGCTGAACTACATGAACACTGTTTGTGTGAACAAAAACAAAAGGTTTTTCCAGGCTCAGACAAAGTTGAAGATGTTAAGGGGAGAACTGGACGGTTACTCTGAAGATGTTAAAGAGATGATGCTCCTACTTCTCTGCTACTTCAATGAAAATGAAGAAGCAATGTTCTTCTGTGTGGAGGACACATGCCTGGCTGAAGAAGTACAGATGGAGAACGTCTCCTTGACTCCCACTATCATTGTGTGTGGTGAGTTCATTTTTGTTTTTCCAGTTTCTTTGACCTGTTTTCTTTTTTGTTGTCTTGTCCCCTTTCTTTGCGCTTTGTCCATCTGGCATTTTGTTTAATATTGTTTTGTTTTTTTCCAATTATTTTCTTATGCTTTTACTATACTAATATTTTTTTTTGTACTTTTTACTTAATTTGTTATTTTTCATATGAATGTCATTGTTTTGTTGTATCAGGAGTCTAAATTTATTTGTTCTTTCTCCTTAGGTCAATCCTGCTTCCATGCTAAACGATTCATGCTGAGTGTGGATCAACAGATTGGAAACAACAACATCTCCTGTTTTATTTCTGCCCTCTGCATGATGTTTGGGAGCTATTATTGTTTTAACATACATTATCCATCGGGGCTGGCGTCTACACTGGAGTTTCTGCAGAGGTATGAGCTTTTGTTTTTGTTTTTTTTTTAAATTGTAGGGAGTTAAATTTGACTTTTGACAACTTTTATGTCTTGAATAAAATGTTTGATTGTGAAGCACATTTTGATGTAGTTTTCTGTTTGTCCTCTTTATCGTAAGGTGTTTCTTCTCAATCAACCCAGACAAGGGCAGTAAGGTGGAAGAAACCCGTAAACCCAGACTGCGTGTGAACCCCCGTGTACTCACCTTGATCCAGGAACTTTCAGATCATGAGTGGCGTGATGTTTGAGAAAGGACTAAAGTCAGTGAGTTCTCAAGGCGGTGTTTAATCTTAACAGAGCTGAATAGATTTCTAAATGTATGTTGCATCTCACACCGTGCCTTCTGAAGTTAAAAAAGTTGAAAAGACATATTTATATTTGTTCAGTGGCTGAATTTTGCACCATGTCAGAAAGCACAAATGAGAATTTCATTGTAAATATGTTTTCAATTAAAATGTTTGTTTCTAAAAAAATTTTAGAATTATCATTATTGATATAGTTTATATTGGGCTTCCTTGTGTTTTAAATTTCCATTTAACTGGTAAATGTTTGTTGAAATTTGATTATTCATAGATATTTGGAAATAGAATTGCTTCTAAAAAAGAAAAAAATTTGAAGCAAACAAACATTATTATTAAAATGTATACTGGAAATAGAAATTTATTGTATGTTATAATCTTCAAGCCCCCTCTCCAAAAAAAGGGTGTGAAAGTTGGCTCTCATACTGTTTCTGATAAGTTAAAAAGGTTGAAGAAATTTATATGTATTCAGCAGGTGCATTTGTTTCATGTGCTTCATGATGTTCAGAAAAGACAAATGAGAACTTCATTAAAAATAAATATTTCAAAGGCATGTAAGTGTATGTTTATTTTTTTAAGATTATCATAGATACAATTTATACTGGGCTTCCTTGTGTTTTAAATTTTCATTTAAGTGGGAAATGTTGGTTGAAATTTGATGCTTATAAATATTTAAAAATAGAATTATTACAAAAAAAATTAAAGCAAATTTCAGTTTTTCAGAAAGTATTAATAAAATGTTTTAAATTGACATTTTTACAGTTATAATCTGTTATTCAAAGGTAATTTATCAGTAGGACTAAATGAACTTTTTTTGTACAACAAACAAAAAATGGGTAAATCTGGAAAAAAAGTGTAAAATAACAGCATTATAATGATAATTCATCAGAAAAAGTTGGTTAAAATTACTTGATAAAACTGTCTTATTACCAAAATAAACCTTTTCAAATCACAGTTCAAATTTGTATAAAACTATGGGAAAATCTGTTTATTTCACAATTTAACACTGTTGTAATTACTGTTTGGTCTGTAAAACAGTTTACATGTTCACTGTGTTTTCTACAAAATTATTCTGGCAACCACAGCTGCCAGATTTTTTCTGTAAAAACAACAGAATTTTTTTTACAGTGAAGGCCTTTAGCATGTAGGTAAAAAAATGGATAAGCTCCTCTCTCTGCCCTCTTTCACTCAGGTGGAATGAGTGGATTGAAGAATAGGCCTACTGGAAGTGAAACAGAAGACTATTGGAATAAAGAAACATTTTCCTGCCTTCCAAAGCTTAATTGGTACTTCACATCTTGTTACCGACAACAGGACCATCTGATGCTGTGTTAGGGAATGCATTCCTGCGCTTGGCCAGGAATGCATTCACATTAAGCATTGGCACATTAAGCTTAATGTGCCAATGCTTAATGCAAATCATAAAATCTTACCAAGCATTTTTTGTCTCATTTCTAGTGCAACTGTCCTGGTATGATAGGATAAAACAATGTTAATTGAAAAGTAACTGTTCTGTGCGAAATAGGAGATTGCTTTAAGTCGATAATTCCTTAATATTGATTAAAAAATATTTGTTCTACTGGTAGATTATTTTACCTTGCACAGCTTAAGGACTTTATATACTGTATAGTGGGTAAGTAAGCAAGACATGAGAAATGTTTCCCCTATGAAGTGTTTATGTTAAGGTTTCCTAAGACCACCCAGCAAGGAGACTACAAAGTATAAAACATTGGTATTTCATACAGCTTTTGATCAAACTATCTGAGTAATGACCTTTTTGAAACATTTTTTCTTTTATGGATTTAATATCTGTATTTCAACACCAATTTCTTTTTTGTATTGCTCTTATGCTGCTTTATTGTTTTGTTCTGTCTTGCTTTTGGTTCCAGTAAAGGTGGAATATATATATATATATATATATATATATATATATATATATATATATATATATATATATATATATATATATGTTTTGCTCTTAGTTGTTGCAAAAACACAAGCTGCACAGCCTCTACTGTTGAAGCTCATAGCACATTTTGGTTCTGACCCAAACGTGCCAGAAATGACAGGCTCAGGAAGGGGGAAACTTCCTCTGAGATTTAAGAAGAGCACAGGGGTTCTGTGGAGGTTTCACTCTGGCAGGAATTGCACGTGAGTTCTGTTAAGATGGACTGTTCAACACTTGTCTCTCTTAGTGTACATGAACATTTGTTGTTGGAGGAAAGACTCAAGGGAAACACACGAGAAACTTATTCAGGGGTGTCAGGAAATGTACCATTATAAAACCTTTTATTAAAGGAATCAAATCCCAAAATGCTGCTTTCTGGGATTTTTTCACAACTATTTATGTACTGAAGTGTCTCTCCACATTAGTTTGAATTCAAAGATGAGATGTAGATTAGATAACCAATGATGCATGACTTTCCAACCTCAAATATCAATAAATGCAAACCTGACACTGTCATGTAAAAAGCAGCTTAATGACATTGGACAGATTGCCTGGTTACTCACCTGTGTCTGTAAAGTTAGTCAAATATAAATCTACCACCTGTAGCCATCTGGGTCAATATGTAACCCCAGTGAGGCATGCTGTGACAAAATCTACAAACATATGTAAAGGTTACAGAGGTAGAACACTAACACTGATGAATGTTTTTCCAGCTTTATAATGCCAGTGTAACCACTACTTAACTGAAAGAGCAGTGAGCTCAGTAATAATCTTACTTGTACTCTAGGATCACACAGGAGAATGACAAGCAAACATGTTTTAACCATGCCAATTACCAACCAATAAATGGAAAAGTTATGTGTTGTCCTTTCTTATAACAATAAAATTAATGTTCAAAATCAGTGGCTTTCTAACCTTTTACCTAAAAACAAATTTATTTTTATTTTTTTAAAGAAAACTGCATATTCCAGTTAGTCATTCAGTACAACAGTCAGCTCAGTTAATGTGCACATAATTTGTCAGTTTTGAAAACATTCATGAATGAACAGTTTGTGGGATGAAATAATTTAAGAATTCAATTTGGAAAAAATTTTGCAGTGCTGTTTTTCAGAAATGGAGTGGAAAGCGTTGAGCTGCAATAAATTTTATTGTGATTAGAAGAGCTCCATTTTACTGATTCCTTCTGCCAGAGAAGATCCAAGGCTGGTTTCTCCAGTCACTGGATAGAAACACAGCTGTGAAGCCAACAGAGGAGAGATAAGCTGATAAGAACATGAGCTGGAGGAAAGAGGAGACGGAGGAGAACAACATAAAGGTGGTGCTTGCCTGATGTAGTAACAGTTGCTAATGGCTCTGGCCACGTTCATGTTGCAATATCATACAGTGATGAGGGAGAGGGGCTAGTTGGAGATTTATTTGAAGAAAATTGTGTTCGGAGGGGCACCTGTAGGTGGTACCCTAACAGAATGACCCCTGACCTCTCTCACTGCCGGAGCTGCTTGGAGTCTCCCAAACATGAGCTTAACCAGTGTCTGTCAGGGCCCTCAGCAGTGTCAGATAGCTTAGGGCTTTTTCAGATGTATTTTTAAAAAGGGGAAATCAATACGTAAGGCTGGAGAGAGGCAGATGCAGAAACATGAGCTGGTGATATTTACTTTGCTGTTCGGCATAACATATTCAGAGAAACATGTTAAAAAAATGCTTCAAAAATATGTTTGGATGCAAGACATAAATAAGTCAATAACTGCACCTTAAGTCACCTTTTCAGCAACAATAAGGGATTCACTAATTTTTAAACTATTGAAACCCATACTTGGAACTCTGCATGTTTTAATCTCCGAAACATTTTTTAACTTTTCCCAACAGAATGCTTTCTGGAATGTATGGATCCAGTCTGTAACTGAATAAAATCTACATGTATTAGCTGAGGCTGTATTTATGCTGACTTTTTTTATGATCAACCAGTCATATGAAATGATTGGTCAATCGGAGACTAGCTGCTGATTCTGTAATTCCTTGCTTAACAAGTAAAATATATTTGCGGTCTAAGATGCACCAAGAATCAGTTCTTCATTTTTCCCTTCCATTTTTAATATGACTGTATTGTTGTTCATTTTATTTGATTTTCTGCCTGTTTTAAGTTATCAGTAGTGCATTGCATGTCTGAGTCTTGTTCTGGTCCTCTCAGCTGAGGGAGTGTGGGGAAATTTTACTGCCATAAGTCAAGAGCACACATTTCAATCCAAAACCAAGGTTTTATGTCTCTTGTTTTCAGTATTGTTAACACATATCCTTACAAATTCGGTCTGAAAGCAGGACTTTATGTCTTTGTTTTCAAAAACTAGTAATGCTTGTACTAAAAACTTCTCTCTTCAAATATTCTCTGTGCTTTCTCAAAACTTTCTCCTCGCACTCAAAACTTCTGTCTGCTCAGACTAAATCTTTGCTCTACGGAGCCCCGGAAGGGACATGGAGAATTTGTGTGTGTGTGTGTGTGTGTGTGTGTGTTACCTCGCAAAACATTTGCATTCCCTCGCAATACTTTTGCGTTCTCTTGCAATAGGTTTTGTGTTCCTTCGCAGTAATGTACTAACCGCCACTGATTTTCTGCCATAATACAAGGTTTGTCAAGTTTTTCCATGTATCTAAATATCTCGTTTGTGAGATATCTGAAGTTGTATATGCTTTTCTGTATGATAGAAATGCACCACAAGCCTATGTGCAAAATGCAAAAACAAAACATGAAAATTCTGACTTCGGCAGTTTGAAATCTTACTTATTGTCCAAATGGAGATGATAAAATATTTCAAGATTGAAGACCACAAATTATTAACTGCTTTGTTTTCCTTCTCAATAATGGCCCTTGTTGAAATGAAAAGCCCATAGTATTTGAAAACCGAGTGTGTTTAAGATTAAAGCATTGCTTCTGTATTTATTTTCCCCCTTTTGTTTCTGCTTCAGGCCCCTACGGTGTGAACCATGGAGTTGAGCTCCACAAGGATGTGGTCGAGTACGCCAGACAGAAACTTGATGAATTCATTAAGAATAGTGACAGTTTTGATAAGTGAGTAAATGCTGTCAGAGTATTCCTACTTTGTTAAATGCCTTTGTTGTCAGATGCAAACTGAAAGAGTTGTTTTTTTAATTTATTTATTTTTTCCCTTACTAATCTCTCCTGAATCTCTGACGGTTGCCTAGCAAACAGTTTCACCCAAGAAGCTGCCCAGAACAAAACCACCCACGTAAATACTCTTAAAACGGATCACTGTCTATGTGGACAAATTAAACACAAATGAATGTTAATAAATGGCTGTAGCTCAGAAGACAGAGAGGTTGTTTCTCAGCTGGTGGGCTGCTGGTATTCTTTACAATCAGAAGGTTGCAGCTGGTTCGATAGCCAATTTTGCCAGCTGAAGACAAAATGAAAATCACTTAACTGCTCAAACTGTTTCTCATTTGGAAGGTGTGTTTGATACAAGTGACTGACTATGGCTGTTCAGTGAAATTTCTTATTGTGAGGCTTAGTTGTTTGGCATTACTCAAGTGAAAACTGTGATTTTGTGAAATAGTTTAACCTCTGCCAAATTTGCACAACA